TGAAAATGGCGAATCCTCTAAGAAATTAGATGAAATGGTTATTAATGTAGATAAAAATAGGTAATACACCCTAAATTGCTAGAAAACTATAAACTAGCTGGGTTAAATGGAGCATACTCCTCACTACAACACAGATTCTGTAGACAGTGCAGTTAACGCCATAATATTTTTCCAGTTCCTCAAACCCTCCGATGGTAAGTGATGCAGCAACCCATTTTCTCTTGATAAGGTTTACTACACTGAGAATTTTTGCTTGTTTCGACGAGTTATCTTCTCCTGTGTGTGACGGATCAGTTTTCTGGTTTGTACAGAAGTTTTATTTAATCTTCCACGAGAACTCAGTTAATAGATCATCCTTTCTAGGAGCACGAGGTACTACGGACGTTCAAGAAAATGTGTTGTGCTCCATAGGTGAAAATTGAGAGAACAAATACATCAAAACAAACGTTACACGTCACCCCCACTACCAAAGAATACTGCTATTTTTAATGATACCAGCAGAAGCTTAAACATGCTTGTGGTAAACTATTTTATTATCCCATACATTTCATTTCTCGAAGATAACGAAACTAATAGATAATAAAATACAAGTACAAATTATGCCAACACCCATCCACCAATATGCCAAATTTTCCTTCTGGATCGCTCTTCAACCTGACAAACTACCAAGACCCACTATGCACACATTTCTCGCCTTCGGAGTCACCTCGCTTCCCTGAGCTGTAAACAAGAGCCGGCGGCCACAGCGCTGACTGCGCGGCGTCGGCGTGAGAGAAGCCGCCGCCGCCGTCCGCCCCCGCACGGCGACGCGCTACCGCCTCCGTCAACAAGCGGACGAGAGCTCTTGCGCTCCGCGCCCCGCACACGGAGGATCCCGTATCAAAGCCGACTCGTCCCCCGCCCTCCGCGCCGCACAGCTCCGCTTACTCACTAGCCTGCCTCCACTCACTCCCTGACTCGTGGCGTTCTTCTCGCAAGCTCCGCGCTCTCCGATATTAAACTCGCGCTTCCCCGATCCCCGCCCGCTCCTATTTCACAGAGCCCCCTACCCTCCCACCATGCAGTGCAGAGCTGCGCCACTGTCAACAGCGCCTCGGACTGAGCGTACGTCGTCGACGCGTAATTGTGAAATAAACACAACCGTGCGGGCGTGACTGCGTCGACCGGCGACGCTGCCAACCGCCTTCTAGTGCGGACGCAGCAGTGGAAAAGACCGAGGCGAGATGAGAGCGAAGAGCGAGAAGGAAATGAGGGTGCATTCGCAGCCGTCGACAAGACCGTGAGATACGCTACCGTTAAAAAGCATCGAAGTTCTAGGAGTGCATTGGCACCTCAGAAGTTGAAAGTCACGGAGAGACCAACTGGGCCATCCTTCACATTTTGAAGGAACAGTACAAACAAATTATATGGAACATGCAATCTATAGTAGAACAGACGGCGACATCCACGTATAGTAATTTTTTCACATTAAATACCGACACTACAGTAGCTGACCATTAGATACATGAATACAGGCGCTGAGAATGTAAAGTCAAATTTCACCCCTTTCTTACAATGCCAGTTACTTTTGTCATTAACTGCTACTCATCCGAGAAATTAAAAACCAATACTGAGATTTTTTCTCTAATTATAGGTAATAAATGTAAGTCTGATCTCGCGCAATGAACTGAGCGGATTTTAAAGAATCTTAAAGTTACCATGATTCCCCACATCGCATACTGACCACTGATATATTTGTTTTGACCAATCCCAAAGATAATGTACATAATAAACCACGGTCACATTACTATTCACTCGCGCTGGGCTTGCAAGAGTCTGTCCTTCGTAACGCACAATGTGTGTCATATTCATTCCTTACTAAAACTAACGATATATTCGCTTCTCCTCCGTCTCCAGTAATGAAATCCTGCATTTCGCAAACATGAAGGGAAAGCCCATACAAGCCACCGTCTTCGCAGAAGGCGTAGGCGAGGTGACACAGCGAAGACCCCAGTCGCGAAGCAGCGCCGAGAACACCCAGAGCGGCAGCCGCCCCGCTTTTTAATTAGATTTAGTCCCAGTCGCCGAGCAAGGAATGTAATAAACTTGGGCCAAAAAGGGCCACGAAAGAATGGGAAACGCACGCCGTAATTAAAAGAAAAACATCTGGCCACGCTCACTAGCCCACGGCGCAGCGAGGAAACGGTAACGAAAAGAGCGCGCTGAGAAACTGCCAGCAACATGATGCGACGGAGACTCGATCGCGATTAGGTCGCGAACAAATTTAATGCATGTATGCGAAATTTTTAACTCATTACTATCTGGGCAATGTGAAATGCATTTCCTGAGCACCCATAATTAATCTCTTCACAAAACGAGATTAAAGTACAAAATGGACCAATATTGGCCATAAACTAGCATTTCCTGTGATGTTCTCGTTCAATGCCACTTTTCTATTTTGCTGTCCTAAATGCAATTAGAATTATTATACCTCAGGTAAAGGGGTGATTCACATCACTTTCTTGAATTACAGAAATAAACGCAAAATTGTTTATGTAGATACATTTTCTGCCATTCATTATGCAATACTTTCTCTCGGAATGTTAAAATACAATGCAATTACCTGCGAGCACCTGCAGCTACGAATATCCTATTTTTCTTCTGGCTTGGAGAGCCTCCATTAATCGAGCAGCGAACAACTTCTTGCCTGCAGCTTCATCAGAGCCCAGGTCGACGAAAAGACGAAACGAACGAGAGATTGGCGAAGTCACTGGAGAGGGGCGAAGTTAACAAAAATATTTACCTCGTTCCGATCAGAGCCGCCGCGAGCATCTCGTTCGTGTACCTCGCCGCCGCTTCGCCTCGAGCACCGCACCGGGAGAGGGGATTTACAGCGCAACGAAAGAGCCAATTTGCGGGAGGTCGTCACATCACCCTCTTTGTCCCTGTCCTGCTCCATCGCCCGAAGCGCCCCAAACAGTCGCCTCAGTGTTACTTTTCACGAGTTTACTCTTACTTGTTACGGTCGGTTGTTACTTCATCTCGAAATTTCCTCTAATTCATTAATAGTGAAAACTGTCTAAAGTGCTTCAGCTGTCACAATAAGCTGTAAAACGAAGATTTAAAATTTTCATGTCGTTATTTTACGTAAAGACAAAGCATATTACGATTATTAGCATATTCGATGTCAAAAAAATCAGGGAATACGATCCAATCTTAAAAGGGAAATTAAACTCATCATTTACCTCTCATAATGTATAACTTTGCTCTAACTATCTATTCAACTGATAGACTATACTCTTGACTGTCAGAATTAAGCACCACTGTTTTTATTAAATACATTAAACATTTGACTACAGAATAGACGGCAATGCTGTGTCGTAGAACGAACAGAATGCTTGTACCTAACTACGCTCTAAATTTGAGCGATCTCCGGTCTCTTGACAAGCGAACAAATCTTCCATCAGCTAAGTTAAACATGTTTTTTGGTGTGAACGTTTTTAAGTTAAGTGCCACGTGCCAGTGACAATGTCTGTTCCAGATGTTTCTAATGATTTTTTTTTTTGTCAAGAAAGCATCTCCGAACCGAAACACTAAACCCCCAATTACAAGACTTTTTGTGGTCCACGGACAAATCATCCCTACCGCTAGCAGGCTTCACAGGGGAGGGGCGGGAGCGGCGGCGGCAGTGATTCTGTCAAGATGTGTGGGAAGAGGTAAGGGAGGGGGAGATGGAGCTGCAGTTAGTGGGGAGAGGAGGTGGAGGGCTGACGCCATGCTGACGGCCCTGTCGGCACTCGCCAGCCTCCCTGGCGCACGTGCTACCGATCGCGCGGACAGCGATGGAGTGTAAACACGCGTTTCCAACGCCTGTCCCGACGTCGAAAAGAAAAGGGAAAAAAATCTCGACCCAACGCCGATGTCTTAAAGGAAGGTCATCCGTACAACACAGATTGAGTGGAACTTTAGGAACGACTGTTATGCTTTTTTGCCCTTCGAATGAATCCATTAGGAATCCCCGCTGAAATATTTCTCCTTTACATCTCGCCTAAGTAGATACGAAAGGAGTATAAATATTTTTACGGCACAAGCGAGAGACTCTCAGACTTAATTGCACGGAGAATTTTAGATTGCTGGTATAGCATTGGAAAGATAATCACTTACCTTTAAATGATCACTGAAGCATGTAGATATCGGTAACAGCGTTATCACTGTAAGAGCAACTATTAGTGCTTTGGTGAAAGAACATATGGTTTAGAATATTCCAAGACTGAGTTCCAGCTTCCAATGTCTGTGGTTAATTTAAAATGAAACTATGTTATTTATGCATATAAGCTATTTTTAATGCAGGGGGAGTTAATTTGACGACTACATACTAGACATTAGGTATTCAGTATTGCTTGAGCTCCGGAATTAAGAATAATTGTACAACTTCAGAGTCTTGTCTGCATTGAACTCCATAAATTGCGAGTGCAAGACTGAATAACTTTGAAAGAAAACCTTTTTAAACAATTGTCTAGAGCCACAAGACATCACAAATACTACTTCGTGAACACCGTTTTTGTATAATGTTTTCCCTCTTTTTTAGCGGTTCCTGCTAGATTCCAGAGATCTTTTCCATCTCCCGCCTCTATCGGGGTGACCTATTTTCGATGCCGTGTTTTGAACGAGGCCCAGCGATCGTCAGATACGGCAGAGAGAGGGGTGAGGGGTCTGCAAAGGACGCCGCGCGTCGCCCGAGGCATCGAGGACACACGGCTGGGCTTGTTCACAACAAGCCCGAGAATAAAACTGAATCACTGCAGGTGTTGCATCCCCCTCGCCTGCTGCACAACAGAGGTCTGCGTAATTGCCAAGTTCGACAAGACTAATTAGTGCGACAGGTGCCGGCGGAGTGGAATAAAAGGAGCGCGTCACCTCACAGGAACGCGCTCGAAAGCCGGAAGGGAGAAGGGAAAGACACACACGCTGGAGGAGAGTTGTGCGTTTGTTTTATGTCATGCATAAAAAGGATATTCAACCATAGCTTGCACGCCGTTCTTCTTGAAGATGACGATGCGTAGAACCTGCCCGCTGGGCGAACATATAGTGTGTAGAACTTCCTGCAACATAAAAGAAAGGGGTGCATTAATCCTCTGACATTGTTCGCTAAATTGCGGAAACCCTCATTTATCTCGCACACGCACACGCGGGAATTATAGAAATATAATACAAGTATACAGAATATTGCGAAAATTAGTCACATCAACTCAAATACACGGTTGAACATTCATCGCTCAATGTTTACTAAACTAATCGTTCACGCTTGTCTCCCTCCATTCCAAAGCGAATATACCACGAAGTGGAGATAATCTTTCCAATCCTAATAATAAACAAATGCGTGCACTTCGAGGTAGAAATAATAATCAACATCCTCATTTGAAGTGTAGCGAGATACACGTGTCCATCCAGGCACTTCCAAGCTTCGTGAGGTGGGCGAACAGGTTTCGGCAGCGGCGCAGCGCCGGGGGGCCGGACGAGGCTGGGGCCGTTCTGCCTGACGCGGCGCAGCGCACGGGTTGGGATGCGCTAACGAGCGATCGCTAGCCCCCTCGGTTCTCTACGGAACACTGCTGTGGGGGCTGAGCGGAGGAGGGCGGGCTGCGAGGCCCTTTGTGCGGAGGGCCCAGCGCCTGTGCCTGGCCCTGCCCTGCCCTGCTCTGCTCTGCCTCTGTCCGTGGCGCGTCGAATTCGGGCGGGCGCGAGGCAGTCAAAGGGAATCGCATCAAAGGAACTTTTCTATTGCATTCTCAGGCTCCTGCGGGAGCGCCCGCCCGCGCGAGGGAGGCCGGACGCAGACGCGGACGTGCGAGCATGCGGGAAGGTGCGGAAAGGCAGGCACAACTCCCGAACGCGTCTTCGCAGCCGCTCCCTGCGTAATAACGGCATCTCTTCCTCTTTTCAGGAAGTAACAACGGAGGGTCTAAAGGGACGCACACCGAAATGGGGGACGTCCTATGAAGAATTTCCTATAGCTAATCCGAATCGAACTAGGCGAATGAGCTATGCGGGTTCAAACTTTTTAGAATGTCCGAAGTATTAAGGGGGCAAGTGCAGCTCGCGAGTTTGATGTATGTCAGCGGAAAAAAAAAACACCCTACCACATTGTTAAAAAAATCGCTCTACCCTGTAGGTAGGAAAGCACATTAACGCACGCATGAAAGATGCGACTTGAGAGTGAATTATGATCAGGGCTCGTCACTCCATCTGCTTTTGACTGTCCTCTTGTTGGCGAATTCATTAAATTTCTTTAAACTAAATAACGATCCGAAGTAACTACACTACATTTTTTTGTAATGCAAAATGTAAGATGTTTTATATCACTGATGTAACAGGCGGCAAAGGAATCGGGCATTCGAATAACATCACATCCATAATCTTCTTCGTAATATTCTCATTTAATTACAATATGCGAGTGAAACACTACCCACTATGAAAACTGCGTAAATATTACGACCTGAGCTTTGTACTGGATGAATGTGGTCCATTCCATTCATAGTTTCAAACTCTCATTTTCGTGAAACTGGTAGGTCAGCACATACGCCTGCATTTTGCGCGTCCACAGGGCGGGGAGAGGGCCGCGTCCGTGGAGGTAGTTCCAAATTGGCGCCGGCGCGGATTCCATTGGCAACTCGACGCGCGAGCCACCACTCCAGCGAGCCCCACCCCCACCCCCTCACTCGCGCGCGTCATCGGAGGCGCATAGTTGCTGCTCGGATACCGGAGATACCACGTCAAGTGCTATCGCAACGGATGCCGCTGCGCGGGCGGGGATTGCGCCAAGTGGCTCCAAACATGCGTATGCAGTCGTTGGGCGAGCGGGTCGGCCTCTATCACGGGAAGAGGTCGATAATTTACCGCGCCCGTTGAGTGAGACTAATATTGTAAATAAATAAAATAAAGCAACTGGAAAACAAGTGAATAACAATTGTAAACGTATTGTTTACATCGTTCGTAAAATTGTTGCGACAAGTCAACGTCTCACGGTAACTCACTAGGGAATTTGAATAAAACAGGCTCTACAAGACCCCAGCGTCACTGTCTAATTTGGGGTATAATTTGAAACAATTTGCAGTCCAAAAATAAATCATTGAACTGCGTAATATGAATTACTACAACTTTATATAAGAGAAAATATGGTCATACGTCGTGTTGACCTCTTGCATCCTCATTCATTAGATTGACTCAAAATGTCATTTTATTTCACATGTAAAAAATTCTCGATTGAAAGCTCTTCTCAGTTGTCATTCTTCCCCAAAGCCTTGCAATCTTAATATTAATATTAATATTATTATTATTATTATTAATGTAAGGATACCAGGCGACATTAAATCCACACTTACCGAAGAAAAACACACACTGGTGCTACCGTGATGCTAAACGCAGAAGGGTGTGTCCCTAACCGCGTTCTATCGATTTATTGGCTGAGAAAGTGAAACAAACCAGCAGCAAACAGGCGAAAGTTTTCTTGGAAATTATCGAGCGGCCTCATATTCTTCAGGCCCACTCCAAAACATTTGAAGGGAGCCCATTACTCAATTTTTTTTAGTATCAGTGATTCTGAAAATCATTCTTACTCCGGAGCCCTCACCGTTGCAGGCGCTTCTGACACTGTCTAAGTAGTCTCAACCCTCTGTTGGAAAATAAGTCCGCCGGGAAGAGAAAAAGCACGTGTAGCTCTCTGATTCTTTGTCGAGCCCCTTAGACTTCTCGAATTTCTTCAGGAAGAGGTACAGCAATTCGTCAGGCAATGGCGATTGCTCTGAGCGCTGACCTCCCTGAGAAAGTGCATTTTGTCGACCCACATTGCACAACTCACAATTCTCACGTAATTACTCTGAGAGTGTCATAGGTATAGCAGACATGGACATGTGCGCTGTAGAGGTCTACCATATTCAAGAATTGATAGGAAACGTATATATGATGTACATGGTTTATCAGAAGCTTTTTTCGAAAACTTTCCATTGGATAAGGAAAATGTAGTCTTCTCCACAAACGTGCATTAATTGGTAGAAGTTACCACCCACCCAAAATTCCTACCAAATGCCACCAACGCACAAGAAGAGAAAACTTGGCTCTATTCTCGGACCAGGAGGCACGGCGCGGCGCGTAGAAAAAAGATCTACGCCGCATGCCGTCTCCAAAGCAGTCTCTGCCTCATCCACCTCCACTTTCTCCGCCGCTACCAGCGCCACCACTGACTTGCCCTTCCTTGCCCGCGCACAAGGCCGACAGGTGGGCGCGTTGCTCTCGCCCGGCGGCGACCGCTCACGCGTCCCTCGGCTTAGTTTCGCTGCCGCGACGAGCGAGCGCGCTGCCGTCGCCCACGGTCGCCCGGGCGGGAAACCGGCGCAGCGGCGTCACGCCTGGGAAGGTAGCGGGGAGCGGCGGCGTGGGCTCCGGCTCCGTGCAGCAGGGTATATGGGCTAGCCCAGGAGATGCCAAATCAACGAAAAACGGCAACGAAGATATTACTTCTAGGATATATACTCTCCGCTTATTTTACTCCTCAACATTGGCAATAAATCAACCGAACACTAATAACTAGAAGAATTAACAATACCCTCATGCCATAGTTTTCTTTATTTTATCGTGCTTTGCATTTTCCCTAATAAATCATACATATCACACAACCTCAAGCTTCAGGTCCATCTGAAGTACACATATTTGCTTTTTTTAAATATTTTATGCCTGAGACTTAACTATAAATGGAGCCCCAATCACAAAAATGTCCCCTGAGCATTTAACAACGAAACCTATTGACTTAAATGTCAAAACATTGATTAGTGTGTTATTTTTCAAGCCTGAACGGGTCCGCGAATGGAAGTTTGAAGACCCCAGTCACTAGCGGCTTCTTCCGCGCCTTCAACGAGTTCCAGCGCGCACTCGCGCGGCTGCCCCGCGAACCAACACGCCCACGCGCTCTGCGGTCGACGCTACCAACCACCAGCTGGAGCAGGTCTCTCGTGAGAGCAGTCCCCCACGTGACTGGGGCATACAAGCAGATCAAGATAGAAACCGGCTCGGATCCAATACGAGTACTCAATATAACGCAGAAGTGTCAAAGCAGAATTAATATAACAAAATATGAGTTTTATTAAACGAATTAATTTAACAAAAGGGTGGAAATCAAACATTGAGAGAAATCAAAAACATTTCCAGAAGTCTAGAGCGTTCGACTACTGATAAGCTCACCGTTTTTTTAGAGCATTCTCGCTATGACGTTATTTTAACAATTTTCATCGATTTATTCAAGGATTTAATGTAAAAGCTTATGAATTTTGCGTCACACCTGTTTAAAAAATATTCAACCACAGAACAATGCTTCAACACATACATACTAGTAACGAATTTGTTGCTAACAATATTGGCCGGAAAGAAAGTTCAATTTGTACCTTGTTGCGAACCGTATGGTCCTACACATTAAAATATTACTTAATAGAGCTACAAAGTGCAATATTACATTTATTAATTCCACTACAAGTTTTCATTACCATGTAAATGACTATGGGAATGCAGCAAAGCAAAAACACAGTTTACGATTTATTGCCATTTTGTTATCTTATTTCTAGACTAAGTAGTTGAGTCACAAATCGAAAACATTTACGCCTCACGCAAGTTCAATGCCACTAATCAATTACAAAGCATATCTCGATCGGAACATTCAGCGCTTTTCAAAACAGCGTCATTTACGGCAGTGGAGAAGCAGTCCACTTGCAAGGGCATGTTGTTCGTCATTAATCATTAGGGGGGGAGAGGTTCACAGCCCCGACACGGCGACTACAAGTGCCCTCTACTGGAATGAATGACGCCCAAATGCGGACGAGTGGTTTATGTCGCGGACCAGGCGCCTCGAGAACGAGATATCTTCAAGAACACTCATCCTATCACCTCTTCCACTATCACGCATTCCTAGTTTTTCCTAAGTTCGAAGAAGAACATTCGTAGCGCCTTCTGAACCCAGCGACTACAGCGCATTTGAAAGTCATCTTCCATGTAATGGAGTCCAGGTTCTAGAAATAAACACCCTTTTCAAGGAGATTTAACATTTAAAAATGGTCAT